TTTTGAGAGAGGGGGACAGAGAGCCAATGGGGGGGCAGGCAGAGAGAGAGGGAGACTGAAAATCCCAAGCAGGCTCTGCACTGTCAGCGAGGAGCCCGATGCTGGGCTCGAACCCACAAACTGTGACATCATGACCTGAACTGAAATTGAGAGTCAGACACTCAACTGACTGAGCCACCCAGGTGCCTCTAAACGTTATTTCTTTAAAAATCAATGCAAAATAGGTATCTCATCTCTATTTTACAGGTGAAGAAACTGAGCTTCAGAGAAGTAGGGCCCCTTATGTAAAGACCCATAGTTTGTGAGCAATAGGGTGGTAAAATAAACTTAAGTCTGTAAAGCCCCCCATTCTCTGCTCTATAGCATATTACAGTAGTGTGGATTTCATGAATCAAAAAGGATAAAAAACTTTTCTGAATTGCCCAGGTTTCTTCAAAATGATGTTGATATATGCAATCATGTTGCATGGAGAGAAATGTAAGCTTGTGAGGTGTTATATTTTATTCAGAATTAATCACTCTCTCCTCTGAGAGTCCACAGCACATTACTCATTTTGCTGCCCTGTAGTGAGGCTGTCTCAGATTAAATCTAGTCGTTGACACATGCACTCAGCAGACTGTGAGCTCGTTGAGGGAGGAAATCTAGTCTCATACCATTTCCTGTCCCTTACTGAAATTAGTATAGGGCCTGCTATGTGGGAGGACCTAGCAGTTTCAAATTTTTATTTTCAAAGGATACTCATAATTTTTCAGCATTATTTGGATATATTGTGGGTGTGATTCTCCTAAATAGTTGGCTTGCTTTATATTATGGACATTTCAAGTCATGTAACTCAAATTTCCAGAGCCTCCTGAACCCACCTGAACCACATGCAAGATTTTGAATGTGCCTCATGAGGCTTTTAAGGTGAAAAGATCTCTGTCTTCCATGATATTCTCCAAAGGGACCAAGAACCAAAAAAAAAAAAAAAAAAAAAAAAAAAAAATTTAGGATTCTTTGAAGCAATGTTGGAATTTATGTAAGAGATGCATTTACATATGGATGGAGTCCCTCCTACAGCCTTTTTCTCTGGACAGTACCTCCTTCCACATGCTGAAATGGTTGGCCTAAATGGAGCCAAATTACATGACCTCATTTTCATTCACAGAAATGACTGGCTTAAGGTAGACATCTTACTCAAGTTAGGTCAATGAATTTTCTCTCCAAAATATTTGCAAATGAGACACCGGGAGGCTGAGCTAATTAGCTGTGCAAAGACAAACAGAAAGGTTATGGAGATTCAATAATAGAGACACCATTTAGGGTCATTTGCAAGGCGAATGAGTTTAAGTCAGATAAAAGAGTGGAAAGGAGAAGAAGGAGACAAGATGGTTTCTTGGAAATAAAAAAAGTGGCCTCTGTTTTTCACTCTTTGGTGTTCTAGTCCTTCTCTGGACTGGGTGCTTCTGAGTTTCTATTCTCTGATTTTTTTTTTGAGAATTATATTCATAAATATCCCCCTATCTCTATTTTCTTGATCTAATTTGAGTGGGTTTTGTTGAAGAGGATAGAGATGCAGCTAGAACAAATTCCTTTCAAAATGGCTCCTATACCTACTAGGGTCAAATTGAGCTTTAAGACATACATTTTCTTAATTGACTTCTCTGACTTCATTTTACTATTCTGCTTGATTTCCCCTTTAATATAGCTTGTCTTATTAGCTACCTTTGTGTTACCTTAAAATCTTGTAAGAACAAGGCCGTATAGGAAAGCAGGTGCATAAAAAATTAAATATGCAATGGTATTGTCTTTGTGCCATACTAATTCAGGCTTCAGGTTAAACACCCTAACCTGGGAACCTGGAAAGAAAAGAGCCTTGGTGAGAGTGATTTTATATTAATCATCCAATTGTCAATGACTACTAACATCTGCAGATGAATGTCCACCGTTCTCAACCTGGTAGTCAAGTTCTATGATCTGACCCAACTCATCTTTTCACATTGTATCTCCTGCTGTTCCTTTTCACATACGCTACAGTGTGGTCAAATTGAAAAACTCATTCCCCAGCTCTCTCTTGCTCATGCTGCCTCATTCTACTTGAAAAGCTCTTCTTTTGGGAAAAGATTTTTGAAATCTGTCCATCCTTTCTATTTTGGTGCAAATGTTACTTCTTCCATGAAGCCATCCTTAGTATTTCTCTCTTTTCTCCATTCCCATCTCTGCCTTAACCCCAGATTATCAGAAATAACCTCTCGTGTCTCTGAACTCCCAAAGCACCTGCTGTGTTCTGGCACTCACTACTTTTGACTTTCATTTCCTTCATACATTTGTGTGAAGCCCCCTCCCCAACTAACTCTATACTTCAGTGATCAGTCTTTTCATGCCCCAGACACCTATGTACCTAACATGTAGTAGGAGATGAACACATCTAAGAGGATGTTGAATGGGGCTTTTCCTCTGTCTGAGGAATTTTACTGAATCTCATATTTGATAATGATAAATCCCAACTGAATGTAAAGAGAGATCATGCCATATCTCTGTTGTACTCACTCAGAGGTATCCATACTGGTCCTTCAAGGGTAGCCATGCCCCTACCCCCCAGCAATTACCTATGTGCCAAATACATAAGAGAAAACCATGCTTTAAAGGAAATTGTTAAGAGCTGCAAGAATTATGGTTATCTTCCTAGCATCACTCCAATCCAAAATTAGGGGAGGTCATAAGAACTACTCTAGGAGAGACCTGATGTGTCTTGAGGGGGAAGATTGGCTTGCCACCTTCGGTTGCAATATCAGAGGAGAAGGGCGGGGGGCAGCAGCGAGAAAAAGCTATATATCTATCCATTAGGTGAAGTGGAAGCTATGGAAATTAGCCAGGCTGGGGCTGTGTTGGAAGGAATGCGCCCAGTGGGAGCAGTCTGCGGGGGCTAGGGAGCCAAGCAGTAGAAAAAGTCTTCGTGGTGTTTACCACCAGCAGGCAATTGTTGAAAGGAATTCTGGGGAGTCAGAGGGAGAGAATACCACCCATGTCAGGAAGGAGTCTAGTCCAGAGCAATTCACAGGAATCTGAAAAACCCCCAAACTCACCAGTGATCCCATACCAATTGCCTGAAGTTTAGATGCCTGCCACATTAGAGGGTACTTGACAGAACAAAACCCCCACGTGTATAAAGGGCCATTTGCTTTTGTTGTTCCAAGGTTCCCTGAGCAAGGGGCCCAAGGAAAGTAGAGAGTATGGCCTTCTCTCCCACTGCTTGCTTCAAGGTCAGGTTTGATCTAGAGGAAGAAAAAGTTTGAACTGGATGCAAACACGAAATGTTAATTTACGATACCTAGACTTTTGATGTCTGAAGATGAAATCATTTTAATACCTGATATTGACCAGGAAGTGATGTGCCCGTGGGATGATTGGGCTTGCAGTGATGGAAAAACAATAGCGTTTGAAGGCAGAGGAGAAAAATACAAACACTACTACTCACGTTTTTGGATTTTGAATCAATCAGCCTAGCTGTACGCATTCTAACTCTGTTCAAGGGCTCACTGAGTTAGCCAGTTATTTCAAAAGAAGAAAAAGAGATTAGGTGCAGGGTGCTATCATTCATCTTGCTGTGAGTGCTTACAGTGTGTGACACACTGTGTTGAACCCTTCACATGCATTGTTTTGTCTGATCATCACAACCGTATGAGAACATTTCATGTCAGAAAATTATTTCATAAATAATTTGCCAAAGTTCTCAGAGATAGGGAGTGGTGGAGAATAGCCATAGCCTTCACCTTTGTGCTACTGCTGCTAGCTTAGCTCCTGGAAGTTCCTGGTGGTTTTTTCTTCTTCTTCTTCTTCTTCTTTTCTTCTTCTTTTAGCATCATCGACCATGTTCACAAGTAAATCATACAAAGTGCTTAAAAATAGCCAACATTGCAAAGGCAATATCATTGACTCAAAATGTTCCAGTCATGTGACTATTAATAATGCACAGAAAAATAGGCTAATGGACTACAAATACACATTTCCACCCTAAGAATCGAAATTGATGTCACTTATGTTTCTGACACTGGTAAATTTTGCCACAGGGTTGATGTATCCGTTTCATGTTTTAAGATGCTACATGAAATTCTCAAGGTTATTAATATCCTGCATTGTCTGATTTTTTTTATCTGTTTTCATAACAGTCCCATTGTTGAACAAGGAAAAAGAGATGACTATGTCATTCTTTTTCTTTGCTCTTTGTTGAGGCAGTCTCCTTTCTCCCTTATTAAGAGTTAGTATGAAGCCCTGGGTTCTTGGATAAGAAATACTTTATCACAGTGTCATCGCAAAGGAAGGAAATGAGCAGTAGCTGCTGTGAGTCACACCTTGCCTTTGAGAGAATTTCTAGAGTTAAATGCTCGCATTTGTTCTCAACATGTCAAAGACCTAGCAAAAATCTGGTTTCATGTCAATGTGAAACATAGCTGAATAATGGAAAGTGACCTTTGGGTTTTAAACATTTCCCTTTCTAGGTTTCTTGTACAATTTTCTATGTACAAGACACAAACCTACAAGGAACTCAGAATACATTGACCATTTTATGAAGCTAAGACTTATTTGCTATCAGGATGTTTTAGTGCCAAATCTCAGGACTTCAAGCCTCCACTTACTGCCAACACCTCTTTCAAAAAATTCACAAGTACAGTGGTTTCAGTAGTAAAGGTGTATCTTTCTCAAAAGCTTTTATTTGTATGAGCATTTCTAGAATGTCATGGGTAAATAAATACAAATAATGCTGTTTATTTTGCTGAAGTACTTACTTGTTAAACAGACCATCAAGGTAATGGCTACGTCTTGCATGAGATACTGGTAATTCCCAAAGAGCTGTAGCTGCTGGAAAGGAAATAAAAGTAAATATAAATGTTGCTTCTGCCATTGTAGCATTTTTATTATTGCCAACTCTCTTTCTGAACGTAATCAGGAAGCAACTGTTATTTTTCTCTCCTCCTTAAAAAGAAAGTAACTTACCTATGATCTTTAGCATCTCATTGTAGATAATGAAGCCAGATCACTATTTTCCCAGTGTTTAACTTAATTCCATGTTAGCAACAAGAGTCAGTCCGTTGGGAAACACCCGGGCTTTGGCCACAGTAATCTGACAGCTGTAGTCTCAGCCTGGACATTTGAATTCTCGACATAAGATACCCGCTGGGAACTTCAAGCTTAAACATTTGAAATCCAAGCCTCAAATCATTCAACAGGTGTTCCTCTCCATCCTATCCATGGATTGAGGTCACAAATAGTTCTCTTGGGGTCCATTCACTTTTACAAACTGAACAACTGCCACTATTCCCAAGGAAGCCCATTACAGACTTCAGTCTGGTAGGCTTGACTTTCTAAGGTCTGTGTAGACATAGAAGTTGTTTGAAGTTTACATTTATGGAGTCATATATAAAAGTCAGCATATAACCTCCAGAAATTTGCCTTGCAATACCTTTTGCAGCCAGGTCTGTTTATGTGCTTCATAGCTGCTGACTGAGCACTAACTTATAACCTGGTCTGAGCCATTATAGACCAGATTTATGCAAATGAGAAATACTTCTGGATTTTTAGAGTGTGAACCCAAGGCCCTGAAGTTTCTAATTTAAGGTCTCTGGGGGACACTCTTTTCTGGGTCTAAACCATCAGAATGAATGGCTTCAGGCTAGACTATCATTCCAATTCTGTGTGTGAAGACTTTGAACTGAGAAATATTTCAGATTTTTAAGAAGATACAAATGATTCCTCATCCTCCATAAAGGGTTCCCAGTGGTTCTCATCCTCTAATTCTCTGTCCTCTTTACATTTCTTTCTCCCATCCTTCCTCTTCTTTCCCCCTCAGAATGGTGCAGTTATATATAGGCAGGGTGACATGAAACAGGGAGGAATTTTCACAGGCAGCTTCAGTATTTGTTCTGGAAGCAGTTTTCATAGAACTATGGGGATCTGCCAGCCTGACCTCCCAGAGGCATATAAAGGCTTGGCCAAGGGCAAGATCTAGTATGTTCTTAGTGATAAAGGCAGAATTTGAATCTAGGTTTTCTGACTCCCAGTCCAGTTTCTGTTTCCACCCACCTGGTTGCCCCTTAGCCCTCTGTGTCTGATTCTTGTGCATGATAGCCCACCAGATGCTAGAGACCTGTGGTCCTCATTCATGTCTCAAATGTCCCAGGAAAGCAGTATAGTAATAAATGCTCTCTGAAGCACTCCCTGAGTCTGTTGGATCATTTTACTCTAGAGCAAGTTATGACTGAAATAATGAAGATTTTCAACTTATACATATCTCTTCCATATAGCTATTTAATTTGTAAGTGATTATTTTTATCATTTAATTGCAAGTCTTTTTTTTTTAATTTTTAAATGCTAATCCTTTACTAATGACATGTCTATGTGTCTAACTTCTGGGCGAGTTCAGAAGTAAAGCTCCAATATGTGAGTTTTTCTAGTTTTTGAGCCCTTTAAGGTCAAATTCCAGAACTTCTCTTTCTTTTTATCTCTTCTTAGTCTTTTGCCCATAGTTGGAGACCGACTTCTTGTTGAGTTGCATTTACGCTGTTCTGAAGTTCTCTTCATACTCCAAGTGGAGAACTAAATGCTTGAGGAGGTCAAGTATCTTAGGTTATCTAGAAGAAAACAGCACTGCTAGAAAACTGATCTCTAGCTACTTATTTCTAGCTCCATGCTGTGTGTGCAGTTATGCCAAGTTCCCAAGTTTGCAGACATCTGTTTTGAGAAATGTCATTTATTTATAAAACATTAAATCCTGTGTAGGAGCCACACCCCCAAGAACAAACCAAGTATGTAAATGCAATTAAAACTGGGAAGAAATTATTTTGGTTCATACCCAATAGAGCAGTGATGCACCAATAAGTTGGATTATGCCATACATGGTCAAATATTTAAATACCCCAAAGGATGAAACCAGAGCAGCTCGGCCTTCTCTGTTTAAGAAAAGATAAAAATAACTGGTTATGCATAATATACATCTCCCAGTCTTTTATATTTCAAAGGGTGTTCAAATTTAATAGCTTGTTGATATACATTCACTTAATCAATGATTCATCGTCTCAATTATTTGTTGAAACACTCATCTGTTCATTCATTTTCAGCTTCTATCATGACCTCACTCATTCACTCACTTTTATTTAGGGCTTATAAGGTACCAGCATTGTGCTAAGAGTCATGGGGGATATAAATGAATCAGGCACAGTCTTTATTTTCAGTGAATTAAAAAGATTAACACATATATTAGAAACACATGACATTATGATGAGATACAAAATGTCAAGCATTGGCTCAGCTGTGACTCTTTACATCCTAACAACAGGCTTCTGAGAACTGAAGTGTGTATGTTTTGGAGTCCCGTGGAGACATTAAGCTAAAGGACAGGTGCTTTTGCATGTTAGGAAGTGTGGGTGTGACTCCAATATGTGAGATGAATTGGGTTTTGTTGGTTTCCATACTCCAGGGAGAACCCATGGTAATAATCTGAGCTGGTGTGCCCTTCAAAAGACATAAAGACAACAGTAAAAACCGCAGGTTAAAAAGCAAATATCCACCCCGCCTTGAAAAATCCTGTTTGGCTGCTCTTCCCTTAACTGAGGCTTGGTGTGGTGGTGGGTTATGACAGGCCAAAGAAGACAACAACACGAGGCAGGAACACGTGATGGAGGGATGGTGAACTTGGCAAACAACCCTTCCTGCAGCCTGCTCTCATCAAAGCAGAAGCGAACTCACATGGGGGGCAGCCCATATCACCACCACCACCACCACCACCACCCCACATTGACATGGGCATTAGTGCTACTTGAAGCCTTTGTCAATGAAATGGGGACTCGAGAAGGAAAACCTTAAAAGACAAACTAATAACCACCTGCGCTCAGGCAGGATGAGAATGTTTGGGAGGGATGGGCCAGGATGCGTTGGGCAGATGTTCTCCACCAGGCTGTGAGGCACTAACATTTGTTTTCAGCACAGAGGGTGCAGCAGCAGACAAGCTGAGAGTGGGGTAGGCATGTGAAGCCTAGACCATTTTCTGACATGAACTTGGTGGTTTCATCCTTTTTCTCCTTTTGTGAATGGCTCAAGAAGCCATTCTAAATAAAGTATAGGTCTCCAAAATTACTCCTATAATTATGAATTTTAAGAAGCCATAGTTTGATGGGAATGGGTTGCCGTCCGACTTCAGCCAGGTCACAGATCCTCTGTCCGCGAGTTCTGAGCCCCGCTGGCGGGCTCTGGGCTGATGGCCCAGAGCCTGGATCCTGCTCATTCTGTGTCTCCCTCTCCCCCCTCCCGTCATGCTCTCTCTCTGTCCCAAAAATAAACAAACGTTGAAAAAAAAAAGAAGCCAATTCATTTATTTATGCAGCCTACAAACATTCATCCAGTGCTCTGTTGTGTCCAGCTTAGTGCTGGGCACAATAATACAGAAATGAATAAGGTGCAGTCCTTATCCTAAAAGGCTTCCACTCTAGCAGGAAGTCAGTCATGTTTCAAAAGATACAAATGAAAACCTGTGGACCTATGCATTTAAAACTGTACCTCGCTGCCCCTCTGGAGGATGTTTTCTCAGAAATAAGCATACATCAAGGATAGCAAGGGTAAAATGAGCCTAACAGAGCTGAACCGTATCTAATTTTTATGAATCTAGGAAATAAAAAAGCAAAGAGCTTCTACCTTGAGTCTTACTAAACCATCTGCCACTAGAGAAATTTTACACCATGATGTGTATCTTAAAACACTGCATTCCATTCACAAATGAATTGGGCCATGTGTGTGAGACAGCATCTGAAGTTCAAATTGCACTGCCTCTCAGATGGACCAAATAGGCACTTGTGCAACCATCCAAGAGTTTAAACTCCCTCCACACCTGTTGCTCCAGCTTAACCTCCATAACTCCCACCTGAGAAGCCTCCCAACAGGAGGCTTAAGGAGGCTGAGAAGCCTGGGCTATTGGGCTCTACACTCTCCAGTTAAAATCCCATTTCTAAATGTGGCTTTCCACTTCTCCCACTTGGAATGTTCTCCCACCTCCTTCCCGTTTACGTACTTCCTATCCATCCTTCAAGTCCCAATTCCCCTCCTAAAACCTTCCCTCCTGGCTTGAGTTACCAATCGGAACTACTGGAACAATTACCATATTGTTTGAGCATTAATTTTTTTTAAACTAATTTGTTCAGCACTTCTCACTGATCAGGCAGATGACTCTCTGTTTTGTGATTATATTTCTATCTCTCTGTACCTTTACTGGAACATGAGTCTTCCAGGACAAAATCTGTCTCATCCTTTATCCACCATATTTCCAAGCACAATATTTTAAAAAGCTCCATGAGTTGTATTGACGTAGGGACTGGGTCCTGGGCACTCTCATTTCGTAGTCACTGGCTAGGAACCAAATTTAAGGCAGTAGAGAGTAAGGAGAGGACTTGGAGACAGTCTCCCAAAGACAATCCAGTAAAACATAATGCCTGCTTGGCTACGGATAAAGGAGAGAGTTCAGATTTCTCTGAAGTTCTGAGGGCTCTAAGGACCAGATAGTCCTCAGAAGCAGAGAACATGGGAGTTAGGAAGAGGAGTCTCCTGCTCTGGAGGCAGGAGAGCTACTGATGTTTGAGGGTGTGGAAGGACACAGGGGCAGGCACCCCGAGTTCAGAGAGATGTGTCAAGCTATTTGCTATGCAACCAGACACGGGCATAGAATTTCAAGCCTAGCACCTTTAGGTGAGTAACTCCTGCTAGTAGGTGCCCATTCAGATGCACAGATGCACCAGGGGACATGCTGGAGAACTTCATGTTCATCCCTTTGGAATACACTTCAAGTTTCAGGGATGTCTTTCAAACCACTGGCTGTGAAGATGGCTTAAAGTTACCCCGTGGTGTTATAGGGAGCAACAGAAGAGTACGATTTGTGAACAAAATATAAAACCTAACGTTTTATTCTTAACTATGTTTAAACTATGAGTAGAGATGAAAATCAGTAATGAGAGCAGAATGGAGGTGAGGGAGCTATCTTGACAAAAAAATGGTCTTTAATTCCTTCCCCTTCCCTCGATTGTAAAAGTCTTGAGATCATTTTGGATATTTGCTGATTGGTATCTTGGAGAGATAACATTATCTGGGGACGCTATGTGATGGAGTGTTTTCTTTGTGCTGCCTCACCCTTCCCAATCCCCAGGAGGAAGGTTCCAGTAAGCACCCAACATACAAGATAAGGGAGAGAAGTAAGAAATGCAGTTTTTAAATATCAACTCTACCTTTCAACTGTCCATACAATATAGCCTTTCATCCTTTCAGCCTCGGCAAAGGTCACTTTTTGTGGTTTTTACCAGCATTCCCAAGCAGCACAAATGGCCCCTTAACTGGTGCTCGGATAGCACTGTACCCATACCTCTGTGTGACATTTATCACTTTAAATTGTGGTTGAATTCTGTACAGAGCCAGACAATGAGCCCGTCGGTCATGAGGGTGGAAGGGAACTAGTGGCTTACCTGATGAGATGAGGCACACACGCGATGTTGGCTATTTTCGAGGTGAAAGGGGAGGCCACAGATGCCTCCTGCTCTGACAGTGAAATGCCTGCATGAGCCATTTTCAAAGCCTAGAAGGATAAATCCACGTTACTATCCTAGAAGGATATCCCACGTTTATCCTAGAAGGATAAATCCATGACTCCTCGGGCCATGTTCTAACTGAACACCATGAGCTATTCTTCACATTATTGAGTTTATAACCCTGTAACCTTCCAGCCCTGGGTGTCTGTTTATGCTGTCCCTCCACATGGAGTACTATCCCCCTCCAGATCCAGAAAGTCATCAACCAAAGAGGCGCCAGCTAAACGATGCTCCTGGGGCAAAAGACTGGTGCGTGCGTTCATATGCATGTGTGTGCATTGCTTGTGCGGATGTAGATGTGATGATAAGCAAAAGGAAGGAATCATTCAAGAAGTCAACTGAAAAGGTGATAGCATTTGGATGGGTATGTGTGGGGGTCTTCCTCATCACAGTTCTTACACTCAGCAGACCATCTTCACGAACGATAGGAAAAGATATCAAATCCCCACCTATCTCTGGGCTGCCTGATATAGCCAACCAGTTAACTGTTGGGACGAGGTACGGGGCTCACAGCATCTTCACTGGAGACAGGGACCAAATCGTACTTATCACACATCCTTCCAGGACCTGTGTTGCCTCACTAAAATAAAGGCTAATTCATTGTCGCAAGACTCGAAACGGCCCAGAGAGAGCATAGAGCAGACAGTGGCCAATAAGCAGGCCAGAGTCAATTTTTTAATCCCATAAGAATTGTATGAGCATAAAATGAGATTTCGTAGTTCTGTAGTTCTGTAGAACCGCAAAGCATCTGTTTACCGTGGCTGGCACATACTAAATTCATGTTCAATACACATTAGAATATTTCCTTCTCCCTCTATTCTCTCTTAGTATTTTGTATCTCTATTACATATTTTAAGATCATCTGTTTTATGCTTGGGTTAATATATAATTTTTAATGTTTATTTATTTTTGAAGGAGACAGAGCATGAGCGGGAGAAAGGCAGAGAGAGAGGGAGACACAGAATCCAAAGCAGGCTCCAGGCTCTGAGCTGTTAGTACAGAGCCTGACACAGGGCTCGAACTCACGAGCTGCAAGAGCATGACCTGAGCCGAAGTCGGATGCTTAACCAACCGAGCCACCCAGGGGCCCCTGTTTGGGTTAATATTATGCGTGATTCTTTCCACCACTAGATAATGAATATTAGGGGGCAGAGACTATGTCCTTTTTAAGCACTTATTATTTGTTTTGTTCTAATTTCTACATAATTATGGGAATGGGTAACTCATTTTAGGTTTTGAAGCATAGACTAACAACGAGCGTCTTCTCGTGACGCATAAGGTAGAAAAATTCATAATAGATCTCTAAGCGTGAACACAATTTTTCACAGAACTTAGACGAAAATATTTAAAAAGAGAGGAACACAACTACCCAGATCCTAAGGATCTAGTAGGCTTTGGCAATACAAAGCAATCTCGTTCAGTTTTGTGCTGAAGATTTTTGTGCTGAAAAATTTGCTTATGCACATAAATCTTCAAGGTGGGCTATTATTTCAACCATATCTTCAACACTCAGAGTCTAAAACACGTACTGCTTTCTCTTGTGTATGGGAAGGCATCTGCTGAGAATTATTTAATTTAGGCCTCTCTATAGTTTGTCATAGCCACATAGTTTGGTCTGCGATTTCACTGATATGTTATGCATACATGATTTTATACATAATTCAACACTTTAAACCATCCGTTTCAAACGTTTCCTTCGCTCGGCCTTTACTACTCATGTGTTCTACTCACCCCACAGTCATTAGCTCCATCTCCGCACATGCCCACGTAGTAACTGCAGGGGACGGATAAAAAACATTAATGCCTTAACGCCTCTCTTGGGTAATTTTCATCACAACCAACTCACACGGGATGTATGTGTGTGTGTTGAACACACGTGGCATCAGGCTCGTGGCAAATGACTTGGAGAGAAATAGCCCCAGAGGAATAAGGCTGTTGTATTTAAGTTGTTTCCACCATGTGGAAATGACAGTGATTTTGCCAAGGACGGCCACCAAGAAGATTACACATTTCAAAACAAGTCCTGGGTGATTGTATCCATCAGGGCTAAGCTTAAGCGTGTGCAGCCATAATCACAGCACTTCCCACACCTGATGCACCGAATAACCTGATCCATCTGTGTTTTTTGGTGGCCGATGCCACTGGAAGTTTAGACATTAGGATGAGAAACCTTTGGGAAATGGTTGAACAGGTAGAACCAAAAGCATATACACATAATCTTGAGGCATTCTGGAGTGATATGAGAGCATATGCTCCTAATCGCTACCAGTTTGGTGTGCAAACACCACAGCATGAATAGAAGAGTAATAACAAAACCAATACAGGCAAAAAATAAAGTTCTTGGACAGTTTCCTTATGATTAGCTGACACATAAGAGATGGTCATTTTTATAAGTCAAAAATGGTCAAAAACAAACTCATAAGATTCAACCCAATATTTGGCAGGTATATACGAAAATATTCTTATAAACACTTCATGGGCTCTCACGCATGTCATGACTGTGTACATTTGCTGAAGTGGGTCCTTTTCTTCAGGCTCAAATCACATATTTAGTCTTTATATCACACAAAGAATCTTACATCTTCAAGTGCTCCCTGAATTCAGAAGACAACTCAGACAACCTTATGTGCATTGTCAGTGATAAAGTCAGGAGGAATAAGATGGGGAAATCAAGAAGACAGATCATTCCGAGACAGCATATTTTCCTGAACTGATTTTTCTTTAAGGGACTATAGCTTTTCAAAAGTAAGCATATAAATTGGCAAAATTTCTTAGGCATTTGAGATGGGTAAAATTACTTTCTTCGGCTATTATCATATAATGACCATGTAAGTAAAATAGTCACTTAAACACTGGCTACTAACCCAGCCTCAAGGCATTATGGGAGTTGATAGGCATTCTTTTTAAAACTTCCCTAAGAATGTTTTGGCAACACAAAATAGTGAAAGGCAGTCTCCTGATTTTAGCTACTACTTGTCAGTAATTATCTGAAGTTTCACTACTCTCTTTCCTTTTCACTTTCTGGAAATATGTAGCTCAGAAATTATAACATTCCCAGAAAATTATAGGTAGGTCTGGTCTCAAGAAGAACCATTTCACTCTGATGTACATGGTTATCTATATTTTTGAAGGAGATAAAAAAAAAAAAAGGACTTTTTTTTTTTTTTTTTTTTTTTTTTTTTTTTTTACTTTGGCCTCCATACCCAAACCATGGCCAGGGCCAGATACAGTGAGACTATCATTTCCACCTCTTTCCTACTGGTCCTGGAATCATTCACATATCTTCTAATGGACCAACCTCAAATAATTCCAGGGGATGACCCACACACTTCCTCATTTTTCTCATTCTGAGCTATATAAGCCCCTATTTTTTCTCTTCCCCACATCCAAGCAGAGGATCTTCCTTTAAGTTATGCTGTATGGGCCACAGAAGGAATGCTGTATGGGGTAAGCAGATTCCAAAATGGCTCTATGATTGCCATCTCCTGGTGTTCAAGACGTTATATAAAGCCCTTCCCTGGGTGTGGGCTAGACTCAGTGACGTGCCTCTAATAAAGAGAATACAGCAAAAGTGATGGGATGTCTCTTCTGAGATGAGGATATAAAAAATGGTGATCTCTCTCCGTCTCTCTTTTGCTCACTCTTGTGGATGCTAGCTACCACACTATGAGCTGCCTTATGAAATGATCCATGTAGCAAGGAGCAGAGGGTGGCTTCTGTCCAACAGCTACAGGGAACTAAAAAATCCTGCCAACAGCACGTGAGGGAGGCCAGTGGTGGGTCCCTCCTCCTCCAGCACTGAGGTAGCTGCAGTCCTGCCTAACACCCAACTGCAGCCTTGTGAGAGGCCTGAGCCGGAAGACTCAGCTCGGCACACCTGGCTTTCTGACCCGTTGGAATGTAAAATAATAAGTGGTGTTATTCTAAGCCACTAAATGTGGGGTTAATTTGTTACGCAGCAATAGTTAATGAATACACTCTCCTTTCGTGCAATAATACCTACTTTAATTTCTGAAATTCTTCAATAAGACTAGATTTCTGCCCAGGAGACATTCTTGCAAAAATGGTTCCATTCACCAGGATCTAAAGAGAAAAACAACTACTGCAATAAGATTAGGATGAAGAACACTTTTTTTTAATTTTTAAAGTTTTTTATTTATTTAGAGAGAAAGGGACAGAGAGAGAGCAGGGGAGGGCAGAAAGGGAAGAGAGACAGAGAGAGAGAGAGAGAGAAAGAGAATCCCAAGCAGGCTCTCTGCTGTGAGCACGGACCCACCATGGGACTCGATCTTATGAACCACGAGATCGTGACCTGAACCAAAATCAAGAGTTGGACACTTAACCACCTGAGCCACCCAGGAGCCCCCAAGGACACTTTTTTAAAAAAAGGACAGCCCTGAAAGTCATTCCCAGCCACTGTTTGAATATAGCAATAGGTGGTGTGTCGTTAGCCCAAATGTCAGGACAGGGAGAAAGGGGACTCAATGCTTTAATATTTAACTTTCACTTTCGTCTCCCATCACAACTTTATGGCTTTTTTCCTGGCCATTTTTCTGAGATTGGATAAGCTCTAGTTAATAATAGCTGAAAAGCAGCAGAGTATATGGGACAAAAATGCTTAAGGAAATACAGTTCTTTCTACTAAACACTATCACCACAATTGCAGCATAGATAGAAGAAAAGCGATAGGTGAGGAGTGGAGACCAACGTTCCATTCTCAGCTCTGGTCCCACTAGCTGGGCAAAGCTTAGACAAGGGACCTAAACTCTCTGAGTCTCAGCTTCCCCATCTCCTCAATTGGGTACTGCACTAGAGCTTTCTAGAAGCCTCTGGGGTCTAGATTCAATGGTCTTGTCTGTTAAGGTGACAGAATTTTCAAGAAACTGCTAACAGATGGTTGCTTGCCCTCAGCTTGTGCTCCACTTATCTCCTTCACACTGACAGCACAACCCTGCACGGCACTTTTTTTAAATAGACACACAGAGGACAAGATAACAAATGATTTTGAAAATAAACCACGGGGTCTTTGTTTCCTGCTGCTGTAATTTAAGAATCCAGACAGGAAGGGGAATAGAGCTCAACCTGACATGAGTTGGTGGCTTTCAGAGAGAGGCTGACCCACAAAACAGGCAGCACATTTGGAACTATTTGGAGGTCCTCCCTGCTGGGGAGGGAAAGGAGGAGGCAGACTGGGATTGGGCTGGCCATGGGGGGGTGAAGAGCTGTACCAGAGCTCAGACTCTGAAGAGGGGGTTATGTGCATGTGCAGGATCAGGTAGGGCTGGGGAACTTCTGAAGGAGCACCTTTGGGGGTGTTTATTCCCCAAATCTGAGACAACCTCACTGATCATCACCTTCACTATTCTCTTCTTCTTTTTTTTTTTTTTTT